CGGCGATCTAACCCCGTTTAGGTCGGCGAAGTATCTCAGAAGTTGTTCGTCCATAGGGCTACATTCGCTACGTTTTCTCCTACTCAGGGCTGGCATCGAGTCAAACCCAGGACCAGAAACCTACACCTGCTGTGTATGCCAGAGACGACTACACCACAACTCCACCTCTGTCAAGTGCAATGCTTGCGAGGGGTGGTGTCACCTCAGAGTCTGCTCAGGACTACGGACACATCGGCAGTGGACCACGTCGTATGTGGCCCCCTGTTGCTCAAACAGCAGCCTCCATGGCAAACCTCAGTCCACCAGAGCAGCCTCCACGGCAAACCTCGGTCCACCAGAGCAGCCTCACACAGTCACCACAGCACAGGAACATAATAACACCACAGACCATACCACAGCCACGACAGACCATAGAACACACAGCCACACCACCACCCACACGCCGCAGCCAACAACTCCTGGTTCCTCCTACAATCTGGACGGTATGTCAGACCAGGATATTCCGTAATGTGACATCAGTCAAGTGCAACACCTGCCTTGGCTGGTGCCACTTTAGGGCATGCTCAGGTCTGCGTACCACGCGAGACTGGACGAGGAACTTCGAGGGCCCGTGTTGCGCTGCTCGGTCGCAGACCCCAACTGCGACGCCTCTCGCCACCACCACAGGGCGGCAACCATCACACAGAACACACAGATCCCTTACACCCCACATCACAACACGTCTCCCGAACCACATGAAGCTCCTTCAATTTAACTGTAACGGGCTACAGAGAAAGATTGAGGAGATAACCGTCTTTATGTGTCGGCATGGTATATTGATAGCTGCGGTCCAAGAGACGAAGTTGCACCGCAATTCAACATTGTTGAATTGTGCCGGGTACAACGTGCACCGTCGAGATCGCGAACGAGATAATGGTGGTGGCTTAGCGTTCATCACGCACCACACCGTGCGCTCCTCAGAGGTGAAAACCGTATGGTAGTAGGTGACTTTACTGCGCATCACGATCTTTGGCATTCAAGCCTGTCAAACGATCGTAGGGGAACAGAATTGGCTGAGCAGATACGGCGGTGCACCCACCAGGATTATGGGTAACTGCAGCAGCTCGCCAGACATCACCATAGGGTGCGTTCAGAAATGCATCAAGCCAAAGCATCAGTATCTTTTA